CAACAGCACAAAATGACATATTCCACCAGCAACAAAAATATGTTTAGATCAGCATTTATCACACAAAGTTTATGATCTTGTATATGAGGGTGTCTGTAAAGATTAAGAAAGTGGATACATCAATCCAGCATATTGAGAATCATGAATTTAACTAAGCACTGTGCTTGTTAAATAAAACTGATGTGGAAATTGATGCTTCGTATGGTGTCTTTACTACACATACAACAGCTTTTTCTATCCTTTTGAAAAACTACTTTGAAGAGTCAGTCCTGTCTTCTCTGTCAGTGAGAACACCATCATCGATTTTTCTAGAAAAACTAACAGCCTCTTATACTATCATATGTTAACAAAACTGTCGAAGGCTTCTGTTGTTTTTCTACAATGCATCATAGCCTACATGAGTCCCCAAGGTTATAACTAACAGTGTAAAATATACACAGATTTAATGATTTTTGATACTGACTCAGAACTGTTACGTGCTGCTGAGAAACACACTTTATCTGACTGTAGAGGACTGATTTTTTCTCTTCGACTGCAAGAAGAGGAAGCATTGCTACAACAGGCCTTTTAATTCTAAACTAGAAAGACAGCACAGATCAGAAAGAAATGCTGACCCAAATCCACAATTCATTTTTCCTCACTGACAAAAATGGGAGGAGCACAGCTGAAACAAATCCCCAGCTATTTAAAATCAATGTAGCTCATGAACTGTCCATGGCTGACACAGGGCTGAACAGACAACCCCACTGGCTGACTCAGTTTCAAGGAAGCTCACTTACTAGCCTCAGAAGAGTAACAGAAATAATTCTGATACATTTCTAATTCACAGCAAGTAGTCTAAATCGTATCTGTACTGCAAACAGGAATTACTTTAAAATATTCAGAAGAGAAAGGAGTCCAGATCTGTTGCTTTCACAGCCTAACATGACCCAGCAGAGTCACGGGGCCAGAAATATTGCAGCAGCCACTCACCCCAGCTCCGGAAACACTACAGAGAGTTCTGGAGGACATGGAGTCATGAGAACATTTTGAAATGATGAGGCAAGCCATTGGAGCAGAGAAGCTATAAATCAGACCTGCTGGGCAGATGGCACTGCAAGCTAGTGAGCTGATGGCAGATGGAAGTGAGAGCTTGGATAAGACAAAAAAATTGGTTGCAAACTAATGAGATCTGTTAAGATGCTAGAAACAATTACTCTCCCCTTCTGATAGCTCTGCTTTCAGTGAGGGTCAGATCAAGCCCTTCTCCCACAGAAACTTATCCAGGAAAAGTTTTCAGAGCCATGGAGGAAAGGTAGTTTGGTTTCCCTCAAAGAGGGACACCCACAGCAGCCATCCAGAGTTACTCAATACAAAATAAGCATAGGATACATAATTCAAAAATCCCAGGTTTTAATGAAATTTTTGAGGTCTGAAGCCTTCTACATACAATCTACAAGCTCTCCAGCCTGGCTCCAGGACAATAGAAAGACCTGTATCTTTTCATGGCAAAGGAGTTTCTAACAAAGGGGAAGTTTCAAGCCAGGAAGGATCTTTAATGGAAAAATGCTAAACAACACATTAACTTTGGTGAGGACTTGGTCTTAGCCCAGGCTGGAGCTGAGGGTGGCTTCATGCTCACGAATGCTTCACCTCCTTCCTGAAGCTGACCTACAGCTCCTTTGCTGCTATTATGGAATAGGTATTATCTGTAACTCCTTATGACTGCAGAATAGTTATTATCAGAAAAAATGTGTTGCACCTCTTAAGGTATTAATGAATATCAATTACCAGTCCCTCCTAACTCTAGAAGTTAGAAAAACCTTTCTTCTCTAGTCTTATTTTTATATATATATACACACACATATATATGTTTTCCTTTCCTTTGTCAAAGCCTCAGGGATCTTTTTCAAAGCAGTATCGCCAAGACTTCAAAGTTGTTTCTGTTCTAATACAATAGCCCCAGAAGCATTAATAATGTTTCCAGAAGAACACAATAGAAAATGATCTACTTCAGTAAATGAGACAGTCTCAGACAGTGTAGGCTGTGAGCTGCTAGCAGATAGCAGCTTCCACAAGCTTCTAACATTACTTCTAGAAGCTTATCAAGTTTTTCTCCCAAGATATATTACCAAGGGTGAGCCTTACTTACTGTCATGAACTGTAAGGATCTCATGATCTTGTAAACTTCTATAGCTGCAAATTCTAATAACTGAAGATTTTTTATATTTGCATGTAAGAAAAGGGCGTGAAGTGGTAAATGAATTAACTTTGTTGAAAGCCTTTGGGAAAAGGGACATAAAGCTACAGACTTGTGTGGAAAACTAATAAAGAGTGAGCACAGCAATAGCACTGCAATGACACAAAGATTTCACAGGCTTTCAGCAAGAACTTTCAGTTCCCAAGGTATTATGAAGTTCTTGTATCCTAAATACACACAAAAAATATCCACGTTAACATAAGAAAACTGCTATTTACTGTAGACACAGTCATGCATTTGCAGGGCTCCTAGTGCTTAAGGCAGATACAGAAATAGCATAAGTAAGAAGTACTTCTCATAAAGGAACCTACAGACAGCATAGTATTCATACAACATATATACATATTAACTACATAGTCTTAAGATTAAAAAACAAAACAAAAAAAAAAACCCAAACCACCACACAGAAATAAAATCCAGCCACTTGAAGTGTTTGACAGCACATTCCTGAGATTTCATTGCATTGGTAAAAGTGCATGACTGAAAGCTTGCATATTCTGACTCAAAATCCACATTCACCATTTTTCCATGCAATCTTGATCAGGTCTCTTGACCTTTCCTGGGACTATTTTCTCCAGATGTAGCCATGGGGTTACACAAGCTACATTCCCATGGAGATGAGCTACACTACTTACTCTTTTGTGATAGGTTTTAGGTCACTTTAACATCTCAATACAGGGCAAGTCTCAATCTCTGGCAACCAGACAAGAATAAGGAGGGGGGGAAAAAGCAAACTAAAACACACACTCCCAAAAAACAGTCAAAACCCCCAAAATCTACAGAAGCTGTTACAGAGCAATAACTATCATCGGTTCTCACAGACCCGTTCCTGTCCAACAAATGTCAATTTCAGATATATTCAGATGCTCCCTTTATTTGCAGCTATCTTACATCTTGCAGCATCTAAATCCCCCCCTTTCAGCTGCATAAGATAGAAAGATAAGCTGTACAGAACTGCAGAATAACAGGAAGTGACTAAAAATGCTAAAATTGCAATCCTGTGACATATTTGATCTGTAGAAGAAATACCTTTTAAAAGAAAGACTAATTCCAGCACTGTGACTAGAAATCATGAATTTAATGCAAGTCTCATGATATTTTTCTTAAAACCTCAGCACCCTGAGGCATATTTGAGAATCTCTTGTGTCCAGCTCTTGTGGCTACAGAGAAAAGTGCATCTCAACAACCTGAATTTCAGAAAGCACGTCAAAATGATGTGACTGTATTTAATTATTCCAATTGTTCTTAAATTAATCTTACAATCTTAGAGAAATGGAGGGAGCTGAGCTATTTGTTCTAAGCATCTGGAGAAGTCAGTGCTGCTCCTTGCATTCCAATTTACACATAAACATACGTTCTCCCTTGGCAGTTCTATCATACTGTTGTAAAAAAAAGTTCTCATTCATACTAAAGGGAAACCTCCATCATGGACTTTGATGTGGCATCTTTCTGATTCAGCTTCCAGGATTTTGTGGCCTTTGTTGGGTTGGCTCCAAGTGTGCTGCCAAGTATGTGTGCAGACAGGATCACATTCACACATCCATGTAAAAATGAAAGAGGAGTAGGAAAGAACAGTATTTTCTGACCATTCATCAAAAACTACATGTTCCCAAAAGGTCATTTTTGTCTTTGTCTGTGAACAACTCTGGCAGATACATCAACAGCATCATAAGGTTACCGATGCAAACAACAGCAAACTAACCCAATAAGTTCTTAAGAAAAGCACAGGGAAGCTCTTGGACATCAAGATGATACAATCAAAGCTTCTGGACCCACACACTTTGTGCAATGTTCTTCTACTCCTCTCAGATGTGCATAAGCACAGTAGTGGTCCTCCATCTATATAACAGGTGCCTCACCATTAAAAAAACTGAATGCACAGAGTACTGATCCAAACTTTTCTAGTGCCTGAGGCCGACAGTATCCCAGAACTTAAGCCCCCACTGTTTGCAAGAAGGCACAGACTCTACTGTCATTAAAGAATTGATTAAAGACTCATACTTAAAAAAAAAAAAAATAAAAAAATCTGAACTTTAAATTAATTTGGCTAGTGTCATTGGCAAAATGTCTTGTCTCCCACACACCGTAAACCACAGAGAGGCAAAGAGAGAGGAAGGAAATACACACTGGAAAGACAGATGGGAAGATAATATTGGTGTTAATCCACAATGCTTTCAAAACGTGTCATCTATCCCTGTCCTCAATCAGTTATTATCGCCTGGTCAGAAAAGATATTCTGCAGTAAAATGGGCTGCATATAACTTATCTCATAATCCTCCTTCACACAATATAAACTCCTACTCTGAATACATAGTTTATCATTAAACAAGCAAAACATGATTAAATGTATAAAGGTAGCAAACACAAGTTACTGTGCTCAGGCTGGGATCTCAAACACTGCACATTTAGCTACCCAGAGTTTCAAGCAGAGTCCACTTCTCCTTCCCAGTGCAATATACACAGCATCAGCTAGACACGAACAACCACCAAAAGAAAGAAACTTACAGAAATCAAACCATCAGCACAAGTCCCATAAAGACCCCAAAACATTCTTACATCCAAACATTAACTTTTACCTTTGACAGATAAAGTTATAGCATTATATAGCACAATAAACCCTACTACTACACCGAACAGTCCTGCTTTTTTTAAGTTTGATACTTCTGTGTTTACCTTAACACATCACTGCATCTTGGTCACAACAGCACCACACAATACATCTCAAGAGTTTATAAGACATGGCAAAGTTTTCCCATCTTACCTGGCTCTGTACAGTTCTTCTCTTCGTGCGTTCCATTAGGCGATGCCATCAACCTTCTGTTCCTCCATAGTTCTGACAAAACACGTTTGTCTGCAACAGTTGCTTCTCGGCCTACATTAAATAGAAAGAGGTTACGCCCACGGTCACTAATTTTTTCCTGCATCATCTTAACAGGACTATATGCCCCTACTAACAAGGAGTATGCATCAGTATGCAAATGCAGCAAAATCAAGGTGTGATTGGGGCACATGCCAACAGACGTGTGCGAGGTGCTCCTAGCTACAAAGGGTGAACCTAGCTATGAATCACAGAATTGTTTAGGTTGGAAAAGACCCTTAAGATCATCAAGTCCAACTATTAACCTAACTCTACCAAGTCCACTGCTAAGCCATGTCCCTGAGCACTGTATCTGCACGACTTTTAAACACATGCAGGGATGGTGATTCAACCACTTCCCTGGGCAGCCTGTTCCAGTACGTGACAACCCATCCAGTGAAGAAATTTTTCCCGATATTCTACCTAAATCTCCCCTGGTGAAACTTGAGGTAGTTTCTTCTTCCCTCATCACTTGTCGTTTGGGAGAACAGACTTACACCTACCTCTCTACTCCTTTCAGGTAATTGTAGAGAGCAGTAAGGTCTCCTCTGAGCCTCCTTTTCTCCAGCCTAAATGAACCAACCCAGTTCCCTCAGCTGCTCCAGACTTGTTCTCTAGACCCTTCACCAGCTTCATTGCCCTTCTCTGAATCCACTCCAGCACCTTGATGTCTTTTTGGTGCCCTAAACTAAGCACAGTACTCAAGGTGTGACCTCACCAGTGCCTAGCACAGGGGTCAATCACTGGCCTACTCCTGCTGGCTACACTATTTCTGCTACAAGCCAGGATACTGTTGGCCCTCTTGGCCACCTAGGCACACTGCTGGCTCATATTCAGGCAGTTGTCGATCAGTACCCCCAGGTCCTTTTTTGCTGGGCAGCTCTCCAGCCACTCCTCCCCAAGCATGAAGGTGCAATAGCAGAGCTGTTAGCATGTTCTAGCTGTCAGAACACATGGCCATGACCTACAATGAGCAAATATTCTGCAGCAAGCAAATGCTGAAGCCTGCACCTGTGAAACTCACCACTTAGCAGTTCTCATAGATGAAGCCAGCCCAGCTATGCTGACATGAGCAACAATCACACTTCCATTTAGTCATCTAGACTTGCACATATTACAGTACTGATTTCTCAAAAAATAAAAATGCATATGGATATATTCTAGTTACATTTGGGTTTATTTTGAGCTGAAGGGCTGATCTTTTCAGTGCTGGGTATACTTGATAGTAACAAACCCTGCATACTTTGTCAAAGAAAATGGAAAATAACTGCACTGTGAATATCCAGAAGTCTTAAGAAAAACAAACTTCTTTAAAAAGTCAATGAAGCTTTTGCCTGAACTCCTATTCTAGAAGCATTCTCAATTTAACTTGCTGACTATAGCACAGAAGGAGCACTTGTGATAATGCAGAGTATGCAATTATAATAATCAAAGGAAGACTAGAACCTCTTAATTAAATCACTTCCAAATCAATTTTACCCATTTCACATGAATCTATTACAATAGCAAAAATTCTTCTGTGGCTGATGTTACAGTATATATTCAGTCATCTTGTAATGCTTGTGCTTTGTTAAAGTGACTGTTGTAAAAAAAATCTAGCTTGGAAATCAGTTTGGCCAGAGTATTTGCTCAAATACTCTGACGCCACTATTATAAGAAGCATAGAGAACAGATGGTCAGCATTTATGAATATAATATACTGTAAATTAGCCAGCTGAAAATAAAAAAACCACCTGATGCAGCAACCCATCAAAAATTAGGTTATGAGGGATTTAGCTGGTAACCCAGGAAATGAAAAGCTTTCATTAGTCATGATATTTTTCATGTAAACTTTAAAAAGTTCTGAAAAATTGTTACCTGCAACAACAACAAAAAAAGTGAAACTACATGAACATAATCATACCCCAACTACTTGCTTTCAAAAACCAGTAAGTTTATGAAAATAAATATCTGGTACACAGAGAGGAGAGAAAATAAAAATAATAAAAATTTAAAAAAAAAAAAACAAAAAAAAAAACAACACCAAATAGGCATGACAAACAGTTCTAAATAAAGCAAGCAACACTATAGTCTAAAATCACAACTGAGGAAAGTTCAGAGTTCTAAGATTATGCTAATACGGTCTAAGACACTGAATTTTTATATGGATGTCTTGTTGCCATCCTAGAAATATCTCAAATAACCCAGGCAATAATTTGAACACAAAAGCACTATAAAGTATAACATTTTTCTTCCATAAAGCACACATTTTAACTTTAGCTTTAATTTATGCAGATGATCCGTCCTAATTCTGCTGAAATCTGATTTCCCTATATTAAAAGTGGATGTAGGATGTGGGCTTAGTTTGATTTTGTTCTTAAATCCTGAAGGACTGTTGGCAGTCCTACCTACAGATCCGAGTGCTGTGTCCCAGCAACCTTGGACATCATATCTCAGAGATGAAAAGCATCTTGAGCAGGATGAAAAGCATTCAAGTGCAGGAAGAGCACTTGAAGCTGCACACTTACAGCCTAAACTGTGCCAGCAGGTGGGAAAAAAAAAAAAAAAAAAAAAAACACAAAACACACACACACACAAAAAACACAACAACAAACAAATGGGAATAACATAGTTAATTATAAATGCATCACTTTACCAACACTGCACTTGAACAAAGGATGCAACGGACTCTATAAAACATGAGATTGGCACTGTTCCTTGCCAAAACGTAGACTTGTCTGTCAAATCCACACTGTAATTTAGGGTGGGTTGCGGGAAAAAGATGGAGCTAAGAAGTAGCGGTAGCTGAAGGAGGTTTACAACCCAAGGATAAAAATGAAAGGTGGCCTTAAGTTGCAGAGGGGACCGCAAGCGGCTGGAGAAGCATCAGCTTCGACGGAGCGGCCGGCGGGAAGCACTCCAGGGCCGTCCCTAGGCGCGCCGCTGCCCCGCGATTCCTCCTCGAGTGCCGACCTGAAGGGCTCGGAGCGGCCGGCGGGGCCCGGCCA